TTCTGGAGGGCACTTTTGGATTTTAGCACATCTACATGCCCAAAAACCTATATAACACACTACAGGAAAGGGGAAACCCAAATAAGCATATAGGACCCCTTTAATTATATAAAATAATAATAATGTAATTAAAGTGGTACACCTGTCATTAAGTGTCCTTCTGTTAGACACTGAATGCTTTAATGACTAAAAAACCCAATTAGCACATCACAGCCATGTCATAATCCACAAAACGTAATGCTACGCCTGTGTGTGTGTGTGTGTGTGTGTGTGTGTGTGTGTGTGTGTGTGTGTGTGTGTGTGTGTGTGTGTCGAATAACCAACAAACACCGTGACCAAGGTCGACAAACAGCCATGTCGTTACCCTGTGATTTATTCACGAAAGTGAAAATGAACACAAATGTATGTTAATATAGACAGACCTTTCTCCTTGACTCTAATAGGAATAAGAAAAAGTCATTTTAGAGAGTTTAGTGGTGGCGCCGCAAGCCTTTTTAATTTAAGACAACAGCGTTCAGAGTTATCTTTACTTACGGCTGCAGGCCACGCAGGGCGCTTTGTGAGGGGAATTCAATTGACTGAGCAAATAGCTCTTTCTACCTACAAGGGATTTTTATTATCCAGACCAATTAACAGAGGGACAGATAGTGGGAATTTGGCATGGAATAAGAAAAAAAACAAAGCAAAAGGATCAAATTCTCAAAAAAAACGTTTGCATGTAAATTGATAAAAGGCATCAAAGTAATTGTAAAATAAATGATTGGAAAGTCTGCACAGCCCAATCCTGAAATATTTGGCTCGTATTTGTAATTATGTGAAATAATTACATTTATGTACATTCTAATTGTCACCTAATAACTAGTGGTGGCAGTGCACTATAGAGCTTTTCACATAATTACTTGATAATTAATAATAATTAAATATTGATGAATATTTTCAAAAAAGACGGCAAATTAATTATCCCAATATGTTTTTTTTTGCTAGTCTTTCCCTCCAGTTAAAGTCTTCATAATCTAATTGAATGACAGGCCGCTACTTGATTAGGTTATTACAAATAAATGTAGCCTTAAGTAAGCAAACAAAATGAAGCAGGTGAAAATTCAAACAGCACTTTACTTTCGCTCGCTTCAATTAACCATTTTAATTACCTTATATATGAGCCAAGCATAACAACGGCAGCAACAACAATGAACAAAACATAAATCAGGTAAATGAGGCCTTGCCATAGACGCCACTTTAGGGGTAATTATCCAATTTGTTTGCCGCAGCAGAGTTCTAACAAGCAGCCAATTACCAGGCAAAGGCTGCGCTGTAGAAACCTGTTGATTTAATTAAAAGAGCCGCCATGTTATAAGGGGAGGGGGAGGGGGAGAGTGAGGGGCAAACAATTTAATTATGAGACAGCAGCATTCTGGGACATTGGTCTTTCCCCCTGGGTGTGTGTTTGCGGGGGAGAGTGGCATGAAAATCAGCTTTGTGGCTCCACACACGTCTGAAGGAGCGAGCTCACAACACCTCCGTATCCCGTAGAGAGAACACATTGAGGGGACCAGAAACAAATCAGAAGTGGTTTGACTAAAAAAAAGCCATTTGTGATGGTCACATAGGTGTTTTAAAGGTGTTATTAATATTAAAAGTTAAGAGTCTGTTCATTCTGTAACGAAAGCTGCACGGATTATTCATCAGATAAAACAATCAATAGACAATTTATCAATTAATAACAAATATTTTGCAGTGCAGAAAATGCAAATGGAACATAAAACATAACATAAAAAACGGACTTAATCAATCAATGAAATACGGGGAAAAGAAATGTACATATTTTCCAATTAAACCCGCCTGTACACCCACTTACGTCTTGAAACAATGTCCTACTCTTGTCAGTGAGAACAATACTCGACATAATCTACATTGCAAACTCGACAAACGTACAAAAAATGCTTGTACATGCATTCCATTAAATAACAACCTGAGTGGATGCTCTTGAAATTGTTTATATAAGACTGCAATGGACCTTTACTCTTTTATGAACTTCTGTGTTCCATACCAAAGAGACCCTTACACTTATTACCAAACTATTTTTGAAATATTGACCCCTGACCCCTATCCATCCCATAGTTGTTTCCCTGAGCCCTTTGAACTCACCCACTGCTGGGAAGGGGATGAACCTCTGCACCAGCAGCCTGGTGGTGGGGCTGAAGCGGCTCGATTTCTGGATCAACACGTTCAACCCCACCTGAAGAAAAACAAGGCACAAATTATACAGACAATACTACACACACACTGAATATTTAAAATGAATCGAAAGGTGTCAACAATGTTATATATAATAAAATACAAATTATAAAAAATTATAAACATTTTAATTGAATATATAAAATGATGAGTAAGCTAGGAAATCTCTGCAGCACTACTAAACTTCAATCAGAATATCTTTGACATATTTTGCCCTATACAAATATTACGCCTACTGCTATTTGGCTGTAGCACTCAGATGTATACAGCTCTGAAGTGACAAAAATGCCTAGCACTGTTCATAAACAACCAAAAACACTTATATTGTATATTGTATTTCACCACACTACAGAGCTGTCGACAAAAGTCTATGAGCTCTCAGATAACACACTCGGCGGGGGGTCGTCACCAGAGCGGACCTTTAATTGGAGAGCTCCTGCCCCCCCCCNCCCCACACGGCCGTCAGTCCGCCCTCCAGACACCCCACGATTTTGTTCTGTGCTCGCTGCCGCGCAGAAGCCTGAGGGCAGCAGCCGGATGAGCGCCCAGCGGGGTCAGTAATTGGCTCGGTTTGAGCCCTGTGTCCACACTGAAGGCTGTGTGAGGCAGGTGTGTGAACGTGTGTCACAGGCTTTTGACATGGGAGTCTTTAAAAGACATAAAGGTAGGGGGAAAAGGAGTTCAAAGAGTTGAACTGCTAAGGGTATTATGATGGCTGGTATTCAGAGGGTTAGGCTGATATTCTACTTTTGACCATTTTCCTGTCATAAAAATTCAAATGATTTAGCGCTTCAACAACCAGTAAACCTTTGAACTCTGCATTGAAGCCCAGATTTATGACCATTAATTAATTGAAGTACTTTACATTTAATTTAGCTGACCCTTTATCCAAAGCGACTAACAGTGAGTGCAATAAACAATGATAGAAACTCAGGACAACAAGAAAAATGCAGATTTTCTTCGCTTCAAATAAACAAAATGTGCTTTTAGAAATAATGCCCCTCCTGCAATTTGGATTCTAGTGCAATTTCTATGAAAACCTGATGAATCGCTTATCCCTACTTAGCAGTGAATGTGTAGCACAACTAGACAAATACTGTAGGTCTGCAAATGGAAATAATCTCATGATATTGTAGAGACTTTATAGACATGAAGAAATATCCAGTTTGATATGCAGCTGACAAAAGTTCATCATAATGCTGATTTATTTGTATGCCCATGGTTTAAATGCAAAAAGGATTCATACGTGGCTCAGATAGTGTGTGTGTTGAGATCCAGCCAGGCATTGTGGGAACTCACAGCGATGGAGACTGCGCTGGTCACCGCTCCGAGGTATCCCTGGAAGAATTTAGAGGCTGGAGCCGGCTGAAGTGGAAAATAAGTGAGATTAAAATATGAAAGCATTTTATGCAACTTGTCTACACGTTTTTATATGGAGATAGTACAGTATCGGTCTAAATGGGACTGAGTCACTTAACTGATACAGTACCTTGGAGGCGTTGCGGTTGGAGTAGTTCACACAGGCATTGTGACTCTGGTTTAACACCTGTAAGGGAAGAAGGGAGGCATATAGAAAGAAGAAGAAGTGAGTTCATTTGAAGTAAATGTACTGATATTACGGTGGATTTAAAGTACAAAATGCAACAGCAAAAGACAAACACAAAGACATTCGACCGCATGTATGTTCAGGAAAATGTTCCATCACTGTTTGGGGGCAAGACACAGAGGTTCATCTCCTTTTTGGATTAGCAGTGGAATTTATATACGTTATATACGTTTGGAACACACAAACGTCACTTCTTGATAACCTCCAAATGGTGACCTTTTGTTTACTGCGTTTAGCATAAGCTTGACAACTCGTGTGTTCAAAGTGGATGTTAATATATATTTGTTATTATGATGCAATTTGTGTTCCATTGTTGCCGCTTCTGTCTACTGTTGCGTCTTCCTGTCAGGTGTTTGTTTTGCTCAACCTGTCACTTAATTACTTTTACTTTGTCTTGATAGGACTGCAGCGAGAGATTGTATGCCTAGAAAATACTGGAACGTTTACAGTAATGTTGATTAATGTGTTGTCTTATTAAATGAGTTACATGAAACTAAAATGTCCGGCAGTGGCTCAGCCGTAGGGTCGCTGGTTCAAGTCGACCCTACCAAACAGACTTAAAATATGGAGTGTGGACTTGTACTTTGAGAGGTCTCAGTTCAACTCCTGGGCCTGTCATGGTGCCCTTGAGCAAGGCACCGGACACCCCCCACCCCTCCTAGTACTAGGATGGGTTAAAAGCAAAGACAAAATGTCACTGTGTGTGTTGTGTGCATGAAAATGTGTGACAAATAAAGAGAGTTTCATCTTCAAATTCTATCTAAAAAGGGCCCTTGATTATGTTATTTAACTCTGAGTTTTTCAGGTGATGATGTAGGTTCTTACCTGCCAGAAGATCGTGGACACTAACGTTTGATTTGGGAGAAGGAGGCCAACAACCTACACAAAGATAAAAACCCTTTTACAAATAGATTATCAGAAAACAGAGCCTGCATGATATATTGGAGGATCAATCTGAGTCTAAATAAGATAATATCATTGTATGACATGTGTATACATGTCGCTAATATTATTTTTAGCCTTCAAAATATGGATTCGTTAAAATAAATATAATGCAAAAATGTCTTACCACTGGTGTGCCAAATGGGATAAAACCTGTTAAAAGAGAAACATTTAACTCCAGAAAACAGACATTATAATAAATATCCATATTGTCAATGCACTCGTAAGTACTGTGAAGAAGAAAAAACTTGATGTGTTGTTGAAATGGACACATTTTCACACCTAATTGTCAGTGTGACCTATCAAAGACACACAGTTTAAAGTAACCACAATACAGTCTTAATGTAATGCATGACAGAGAAATGCTTTGACATGAATTTAGTGAGGGATTCTTAATGCATTGATTAAGTGTTTTTAGTCACAAGATCTGAATGCTGCTATTAACCAATGCAATTATTCTCCTTCCAAAAAGGTTAATCAAAAATATTCCAAAAGAGGGAAAATTATCAACGAGAGTTTGAGAAGCACCAGTCTAATAGGGTTAGACTGGTGCTAACCCTAACCCTAACCCAGTCTGCACAGGTAGGCAGGCCAAAAAGATTCTGCAGCATACTCCCATTGGTCCTCAAATATTAATAGTCAGTGTCTCCTCCTCCCTCATTTGTCCACCCCCCCACCCCTCCCTCACTTAAAAGTCCCTTTGCTAAAATGGGGCTTTGAGTCTGAACCAAAATATTTGCTCCTTCAGAGAAGCTCGAGAGCTTCTCGGTCACCGTGGGAGAGAGGTTTTAATCAGCGCCCAGCTGAGTGTGACCTTTTTCTGGCCTGAGACAACCTGAGGAGCCCCGTGGAGCCGTGACACTTTCCCAGAGAGAACGACGCCTGCATGTTGGACCACATAACAAGCCCCTCCATCTCACTTCCCTTTAGACTCCCACACCGAGCCGCTGTACCTGACATCCGAAAGGGCATGAGGATCTTCTCTCCCGTGTCAGGGTGGATGATGGCCTGTTAGAGGAAGTATAATGACCCGGATGATTAGTACAGGGATAGTTCAGATCAAATGAATTAGGAACAGAGATTTGCTGTGGGATGAAAAGAATGAGGGAAAGTTTTAACTGTTTGAAAAACTATTTAATTAATACAATGAAATTACTTACTTTGCTGTATGTTTTTAATCAGGTAAGTGTTGCGCTTAAAGGTGGGGTAGGTAATTCACTTCAGAAACACTTTTTGTTATATCCCATGGAATGCTCTTAACATCCCGATAGCAATGAATACATTAAATGCTTTGACAATTAAAAAATGTCATCTGTGGAAGCCGTGGTGCTGCAAAAAGCTAGACCAATCATCTGAGCCGGCCCGGCTAAAGTAACTGGATGGCCTACCTGCCTGTCAGCCTTCCATCTGTGCACAAACTTATCTCGTGCCCTCATTGGTCATGTGCGCGTTCGTGTGTGTTGGAGGAGGGGCTCTGTGAGGAAGTCTGAACTCTGAAGGAAGGGGCAGATTTTTTTCGGCTGCGTACTTTCAAATTCTAGCGCACTCGAGCTGGTTTCTCCATTCTTACCTACCCTACCTTTAAGTGTAAAGACTGCAGTATGTTTTGTTTGAAATCCACTGAAACCATACCATAACAACAACTAGAGATGATAAAAGATAGTGATCTGTGTTAGTGAATGAGACAAAAAGTAAATAAAAGAGAGAAAAATCTTACCTGCTTTATTTTTTGAGCTTGCCAAAGCTGAAGAGAGACATAACATATTTTCAATGAGATGATGATGGGCTAAACTGCCTCACACGTTTTTCTGTTAGTAACTGCCTATTTAACTTAATTTAAACTAATCCTCAAACATGTATTTTACCCTTAAAAGAGATGGTAGATAACCCACATAACAGCCAAAGACTATGGCTAAACATACACACATTCAAATAAGTAGCGTGCAAACACAAGCTTTTATTTATTTAACGGTGTATACCAGAAAGAGTTCAGCTCCAAACTGCTGAATGTATATATAGTTAGACAATTAAATATAAAATGTCAAACAGAAGATGGCAGCATTTATATCACTATATTGAAGATATTAAAAAAGGGAGCTATTTCGAACAACATTTCCCGAGCTATCCTTGCTTTTCTGACGTGTAAATGCTTCACTTCACCTATTTTAACGCACAATGAACATTTCAATGTGAACTTAGGTTTGTTGTGAGCGTACCTGAGCATCAGTAACTCCTGGAGGCAGAGTTCCTTGTTTAAAACGGTCGAGCAGCTCCACAGACTCCTGCAGACGTTTCTAATTTGAACAAATTGATAATAAATCAGTAAAATACAAATGAGCACAGATTACCCTGGATGTTTTTTTATATTCCACTTTTCAAACCACACAGTTCAACGCACAAGATAATTGTGCTTCACTAAAACTCTCATGCTGATTTTCAGTTGACAAATGAGTTTCCTAAAGAGTAATGAACAGCTTTCTGTGGTGTGATCAGTGTCTAATTCGGAGCAAAATACAAGGTCATGTGGCCCAATTTGTTCTAATGAGCTTGCCTGCATGTGTGTGTGTTCCCGTTTCTTTCACTGCGTGTGTGTGTGTGATAGTGTTAGGTGTACATTTTTGAATGTGCGCATATGAGGTCATGTGTGTGTGATTGCACAGCGATCCTTGTTCCACTCTCGTCATTAGGGGCAAGTTGAGGCTACGCCTGGCCCAGCATGGTGCATGGTGTGTGTGTGAGAACATACACACTCTCCTCCCTCACAGCTGCCCCACATGTCCACACCTCATCACATCCCAGGAGCTACTGCTGCTATTACTGTCACCAAAGAGCTCTCTAACAGCTTCATTACCCAGAGGCACCGGAGCACTGATGACTCCATGAACAAAAATTACCAAAACACAACAAGGACCTGGAGAAATTATACCATAATGGTCTGTGGCCGAGAAGGTTGAACATGTTCTTCCTCTTCCAGAGAATCCTTGAGTTTGATAAGACATTAGTCAACAATGATTTTCATAACAAGGTCAAGGACATTAATTAAGAACTGTGATTAGCAAGTCAAATTCAATGCTTTTGACATTTGTTTCCAGTAAATGCAGGCTCTGTGTTGTTTCAAATAACATTATTGTGCTTACACTGTGGAATAGATTACTCTAGGTTTCAGGAATACTTCGATCATGGACCTGGGCTACCTTGTATTACTAAAGAAAACAGTTTTGCTCGCATGCTTCCACGTAGAACAAAAAATAAAATAAAAACTCTTAATGAAATGCATGTGTTTCGCATCCGCTTTTACTTCAATCATTTTCTTTGTTCTTTGACTCTTTGTACAATGTGAAGGCATTGCAGGAACAACTTTAAATATTTCATTTTGTGGGTGAAGTATTCCTTTAAATGAAAGCTCAAATAAAAACTGAAAATGAGACTGAACTCCTGAATTACAGTCAACTGCAATCAACAGAACTTTATAACCAATGAGGCGTCATTTCATGAAAAATGCTCCCAAATGGGTGGATTTGCACATGTCGAAGAAGCACTGCCTCAGTCTTGCTACAATAAAAACAAAATGCAAACAAAATATATTTAAATGGTTAAAAAAAAACGAACTCTGACAAAGATACATTCCTTAGACTACAAGAGATACCTGCTGCCATTAAAAAGTGCATGTTATTCCTGTCAGCTCAAGTACCTCTGAAACGAAGAGTGTGCTGGGGTCGATCACATCCAGGAAGTGCCTGAACCGCCCAGAAAATTTGTTCTAAGAGAAGAAGAAATACATCATAGAAACATTATCTTGCGTATTGTTTGCATTTTTAACGTGTTATCAATGAAATATAAGTCAGGATAAGAAAATGCTTAAAATCTTAATTTCTATCTACTGTACAAGTAAAATACATTTAAACTTTTGCTCGAAATAAGGCAGACAAATCTGATTCTGTTTTGTTCCTTAGAGCAACCAGGTGCAGAGATGTTCCAGCTGTTTCCGAATAAACATTGAAGTGTGGCAGATGTTTTAACACACCAGGTGAAGCCTCCTCATTAATCCCTCCGACAGACTGTTTCCAATCTGCATCTGTTAGGGACCCCGAATCCACTCACACCACATTTACAATTAATTTCTATAATTGTCAAAGTGCCAGGAAAAACCTTTCGATCATTTATTCATAACTGAGCATAAGGAATCATTTCTGATATACAGGAACACACCACGCAGCGTTGAGAGGCGACCATCACTCCATAACTTCAGTTTAATTACACTAACAGCTAATTTAGATGGAAATCTGGTATCTGACTCACGCTTTGAGACTTTCTGAACATATGGATGGTTGCTAGAACACCGCATGGGGGAGTGGTTTTAAATATCTTTAATTCAATTATTAGAAATGAGAAGCAGTGTACGAGAGAGGGGTTATTTTACTTGTACTCATTGGTGTTGCAATCATATATTCTGTGAGATTTCCCACCAGGTATTTGTTCACATAATCTACTATTACATTATTTTGGTCTGATTTTAGTGCTTTCATTTAGGGCTGCACAATATGAGGAAAATATGTAATGTGTAATAACATTGGTGAATATCACATTATAACTTCTGCTGAATAAAAATATATTAAAAGTGTACCTTTCTGCTGCTATACTAGTATACTGCTAAAACACAAAAACAATCTATTTTGGAACAAATTGAACACAAATTCCACCATTAAAAAAAAGAATCATAAGTAACATTTTAGTGTAGGAAAGTATCTCAAAATGTTTTCAACCAAAATGCAGTACATGAGTAGCTACAGCTTTTTAGTTATATTGCACCATTGCATATGTGTATGTACAATAAGATCTAATGTAAATGAGTCAAATATACCAAACAAAGATAAGATAAGATAAGATGGTACTTTATTGCCTAGCCAATGAAGAGGATTCTGAATGAAAACATACCGTGTTAAAATGTAGGGTAACAAATTGTTAGCTTAGTTGTTGGCTATCAAGATGGTAAGCTATCACTTTTGCTTTCTAGCTAACTGTATTTTATAGTGAATTTGTAATGCATTACTCCTCGCGTTGCGTTCAAGGGTCAAAAGTGGATCCGGATCACTGCTGGACTTTCAACTTATTTGACCAAGACACAATAATATGGACAAAGTGCAAGAGCTATAATAAAAGTTGACTTTATTAACTTACTTCTAGAATGACTGTCTCAAACTACTAAACACCATGTTTGCTAATGTTGACAGTGCAACTTAGCTAGCTGATTTAATGCTAAAGCAGAGGAAAACTATGCTTTTACACTCAAATATTTAAAACTCTGTTAACGCAGAGGTAAACTATTTAATGTATCTAATATGACATTTAACTGCCAGGTGCACAAACGACGTAAAGTGCATGTGGTAAACTTGAATCGTGTTACAAATAAATGTACCTGATCGAAACGAGGCTTGCCATGTTGAAATGTCTCATATTCAGACATGTTGCAGTTTTAACACACAGGTGTATATTTTTCTTCTTCTTTTCGATAATAATTATTTCACCAACACTTCATGAACCTGTAGCTGCTGCAGGGCTGCCCAGTTAATATCCAGCTGTTCAGTGGCCATGTTGCATGACGGGAAATGTAGTTTTCCAGGGTGATTTGCTCAGGAAGGATTTCCTTTTAACCGTTTTTTAGCGAACTGCACTTCCCAGGATACATGCTTTGTTTACGGTGACTTAAAAAGGAAGTTAACGGGGTGAAAGTTTAATATCAGAGTGTAAAGTACAGCAAATACTAAAAAGAGAAATCTGGTGGTATCATTGAAGGAAGGTTTATGAGTTTAAAGAGTATAACATAGCCCTCTAGTGGTGGTTTTGTAAAAATAAAAGTCAGAAGCAATGATCAAACATTTTGGAAAGGAAGGAAGTGAATTAATAATGTAATAATTCACATTATTATTTTATTTTGATTGTTTCTCCTCACTGAAGAACTGAACATAAATATAACTATAGGGATTGTATTTGTTTAAATAAAATATGTGTTAAACACCAATGGAGCAAGATCACTTTTGATATGACTAAATAAGGTTTTTTTGTTTGTTATTAATGTCTCCCTGGTTTGCATTGTATTTCTTTAACATTGACTACTAATTTTTACATAAATAATAAATAAAATATTGAATATACAATTGGTACCATGGACGTCAATTTGTGAAGTAGTGAAGAAACCTATTTATCCAGATTTAACATCAGCATAGCAGAAGACAAAAGATGGTTGGTGGTTTGATTCCCAGCATGGCGGAGTGAATTTTGGAGAGACATTTTTTAAACGAATGTACGTGTCTGCTTTGCTTCTTTAGTTCGCAGTTGAGATATTGTAACGGGTTTTGTCCTTAAAAAGCAACACAGATTATGATCTTTAGATGTAGAAACCAAGATTTTGATGAAACCTCTACAGGTGGCCTTAGCTTAAGGGTTAAATGGATGTCTAAACCTGAAGGTCTGTGTTTGGATTCCATCTCAATCTAATGGAACTAACGAGGCTGTGGTAATTGTGTGGGGGGACAAAATTGGCCATTTCAAAAAGTGGTGGGGACATGTCCCAAGCGTCCCCAGTGCAAATGATGACTGTGATTGGTACAATGTGTACATTTTAAAATCTAGGGTTTGACAATAGATAATAAGTTATTCCTGAAACCAAAAGACCGACATGAAAAGCAAACAAGCAGCTACTTAATGACTGACTAAATACTTATAAACATTTATTTTTGCCAATAAGAAAAAAGCTGAACATAATCTAGGTTTTTCTTACCTAATGACAGCCAAATAGAAAATGGAGCTAGTTATCTTAAATAAACAGAGAACCACCCTGTAAACCAAGATTATAATCAGCTCAATGGTAAAAACAAACACACCCCAAATAAAGATTTACAACCAAACATACGGTGAGCAAGAAACACAAAATATTCTTTATTAAATATACAAAATTTGTGAAACAGAATTGCATCACGAATTGTAAACTTTCCAATCTCAAATACTACCTTAAGAACATTCCACCGGCTACACACTCAAAAGGACAAAAATACAATCAGTTTAAACTTAAATTAAAATGGAAGACATGGGAAGAGGACGTTTATTCTTGCACTTCATAAGTGCAGAGTCACATTTTTAATATGTCTCTACAGTCATCTGCGCACTTCATATTGCGATCACACAGCAGAACTGAGATGACCAGACGGTTTTTGGATGTTTTTTTGTATGCTTCAAGCTCAGTGGCAAAAATCAAGGATGTGGTGTCAAATTGGCCTAGTGCTTAAATCACAGAGCGATTAGAAAGTGCAGTACGGTGTAAAGTAGATCTAACTATACCGATATCAACAGACAGGTACAGTGATGTTCTGACGATTAAGTAGTGCAAGAACATCCATAAACGCTGTTAAACGTGGCATCATATCAGAATACTTTGTGGTGTCTCAATCTGCTCTATAGATTTTGTTTCAAGGCTTTTTTTTGGTATTACACAGAAAATCTGCTCATTTTCTATTCGTAAGCATACAATTTAATATTGTGCAGTGATCTAAACAATATTGTAACAAAGCATTAACAGAAGTAAAACAAAAAAAGCGAACAGTCAGTGAACAGATGGCTTATCTTCTTCAAAACCTGCCTCAAATGAAGTGCTAGATTTTCAAAACAGAACAAAAATAAGGCAGCATTTGGCATTTCAATACGGCATATATGCTGTAAAATGCACTGTATATCCCTTTGCAACACCTGAAAGAAGAAGCGATTTGCGTGCTTGTGCAGAAGCGGATGTGACAGCGAGGGACGGGAGTCAAGAGCCAGCATGTCGCAGGCATTTCCTCAACAGCGGCGTCATGTTGATAACACACGTGGGAAGGCAGAAGCATGAGATCAGAGGAGCTTTTGATGGCTGATCTTGATACTGTCTTCACCTGATAACACCGTGACCCATACAAGAATCTGTTTAGCTTATGTGGCTGAGCATTGTGGGTAATTTCAAGACATGCCCATAGAACAGAAAGAAGGAAAAAGAAATAGGAAAAAGGAGCAAGCAAAAGATAAACAGCACTTATCCTGCGTCGGAAATAAAACCATTCACTTGCTGGCTAAGAACACTTTTGAACATTCAGAAGCTACAGTCAGTTCCCAGTGATGTGCACGTTGGGTCTGTAGTTTCAAAAACTAGTCAGAGCACTCGGTATTCATTGGGGGAACATTTGTAGAGTGTCAATCCAAAACAACATGTTTTTTTAAAAGGGAAGCAAATCACAGCCAGAGTCCCATTCGGTGGTTTTGCATGATTTTACCTTATTAACCAACTATTGGGCATACTTTAAAATATATATACTACCTTTCAAAGTCTGTTTGAAGATTGTCAATGTTTTTTTGTTTTTTTTTTAGCAGCCATTAGTTTAAGTTCATTTTAAAATATGCTTTTAATTTAGCGAAATTACAATTATTGCCTATAGTTAGAAGAGATGAGTTTTACCTATTTTAAATCTCTTCACTAAGTGTGGAACTTGAGCAAGGATGTGATTAGCTTAGCTTAGCATTAAACTGGAAACAGTTCTGTTCAAACCAGTTTTCAAAATGCTGATTCTTTAGCTTTTTTAGCTTTGTTTGAGGGTTCAATCCGAATCTTACATCGGAGTCTTTCACTATTTTAACTATGTCCCTCTTTTTAACAACTTTAAAAAAGACGTCAAAATGTTCAGTTTAATTTCCCTGCAGTTTGAGTTTCATGCAACACTGAAATGAAGGGAACCCAGTGGCTGCCTTGAAGGTATAACATCTATCTAAACCTGATGGTGCGCTCCAGAAATATCCAGCTTTGATTTCAAGAATATGCAGTTTGTAGTTAATGGTCTTAAACATGGTAAACCATCAGAGTGGCTCTCCTGTCCTAAAGCACAGCAACACAGCTGTGTGAGAGGCTGAAAAGCTGTGTGAGGTTTGTAGATATACGCTGTTTTGGACTGACACGCTATAATTTCTTTCAAACATTTTGTGGTAAGGGGATAGGAGTGAGGTGAGGTGAAAAAAGAAGGAATCATTGTTTTTACAATCAGGATTCCAATGTGGACGCATCCGGGCTCTCCTCTGTGACCTTGCTTTGTGAACCTGAAAACAACCTGAGGACCCGCTACATTCAGAACCGCCCGAACCCAAAGCCTTCTACGAGTTTCAGCACAGAAAAGCATGCCGGGTGGGAAACATGGCCGCCCTCCAGACGTCTCTCAGTGCCTACATATTTGTATCAAAAAGGACAGCATAGCAGTGAAAAGACTAAAGAGCTGTTGTGTAGTGAACTGCAAACGTTTGGTCACTTTAGCTTGGAGCGCACTTGCAGGAGAGTGGGCTTCTGCTCCATGATGCGCACCAGCAGCGTGTCTATGTAGTCTTCCAGATCTTTGACCTGCGGCTTCAACTTCTTCAGCTCCACCTCGCGCTTCGCCAGCAGGCGTTTCTGGCGTTTAAACTCGTCCTCCTGGCGCTCTAGCTCATCCTCCCGCTGCACCAGCAGGGCGACCAGCTCGCTGTGGTTCAGGTGGAAGTACGAGCCCGCCCCTTCCGACACAGGCTGCGGACAGACAGACAGGAAGGGGACTTAAAGGCTAACAGAGATAAAACATCTTTTCATTTGACTTTCAGTTGATTATATTGTCTTTTTCAGCCTTAATGGCAATCAATTTAATGTCACTTACAGTTGATCTCTGTGCACCAGAGGATTAATCCCAATAATTAAGCTTTCTTACACTATATGCAAAAACTTTAGCACAATAATAAGCAAACCAGAGACAACCAGGGAGTGGAAAGAAAAGGTACAGGTGTAAAGAAAAATAGGAATAGTTTTATAAACTCTTAACCAGTACTCTTAGCATAGGTGTTAGACAGGTTTATAGTTTTTAAAAAAAATCTTTATTCAGGGAATAGAAACAGGACCACAGTGGTGTAATCTATTATTGTAAATAAATAAATTAAAGCATTTAGGTTATCAAAGTAAAAAGGAAGAATGTCATTTTACCCAAGATGTAGTAATTGTATTTATTATTTTCCACTTATATTCAAAACCCTATCAGGATGCCTTGCCTGAAAATCAACGTTTACCAAGAAAGAAAAATAATAAAAAGGCTTAAAATTGCAATGACACTGTTAGGTAAGCTTTTAAGTGCTTTTGAAACCCTGCCCGGAAAGACAGCGATCAGCTTCCCAAAACTCCCATTGTCCTTGAGAGGTGTTATTTAATTAATAAATACGTTTTGCTCATTGAACATGTTTGCCTCTGAAGGGCAGTATTGCAGTATTTTTCAATCTTTTTAATGAACACAAACGGTACCTTCTTCTTGCTGGTCTCCTGCTCGCTCAGCTGGCTGCTCCTCCCCGGGCTGATGGAGGACTTGAGCTTCTCGAGGCCGGTGGCCAGCACGGAGCGGCCCTCCGTCCGCTTCTCCTCCGCTGACGTGGTGGTGGTGAGGGGCTTCACTGGGTGGGGGCTGCAGCAGCACACACACACACACATATATATATGGTCAGGTATCACACTAGGTAGAACAACATCACCGTGGCTTTTTATTTTTTTTTTTAAACACATCCATCAGGCTGTCTTCCTGGAGGTCCAAAGTTGTTAATATTCATGACAAAACAAAAAAGCCAATTGTCTTACAGAGATGCGTCTGAAATTATGCAGAAACATGCATTTAACTAAAAGGAATTTGTTTTAGTACTAGAGGGGAAGTCAGCTTTGATTTTCATATAAAGATCGTTCTATGTGCCACTAAATAAAAGTTAAATCTGCTTGTGACTGTGGGTAAAACACAAGGCTTGTTTTAATTTAATGTATACTATAATTCTTTGTAAATGCAGTTTTGCTTCACAAGTTTATATTGGGAAAAGTAAATATCTATTATGTTAACATTTCCTAAATTCTCTTAAATGTTTTATTGTGACTTATTTCACTTCATCAGGCCTTATTATGCTAATATAAAAACATGTGAGAAGAAACACATCACATTTATTTCTATTCCTAGCTAAATAAGTGACTTACTGTATGTCAACAAGGAGGCCCTAACTTGTGATGAGTTGTCACAAGCAAAAGGTTGCAACTTAGCTTTTATTGTGAAAATCACACAAACACAACCCTAGTTTCTAAAAGAACATCCCTCTTTTATCAATTTAGTTTGTTTTTGTTGTTTTTCATAAAACCAAACCATCCTACTTTGGCTAAAATGGGGCAGCTCTGTGGCTCTTAAATCAAAATAAAGCTGACCAGTTAACGGAAACACCTTTACAATAATAACACAGGAAAGACATGTTTCCTGTGTTAGTGACCTACATTTACCAGATAATCTACCACCAACAGGCTAATCATGTACACACTGTAGTGACTTCCATTAATACAACCATAATTGTTTTCATATATATCTTTTTGAACGCATGTAATAAAGTTTGAGCTGTTATTTGATCACAACATATTGTCCTCTGGACCTCCTGGCAGACAAGGATGCTACACAACACATCAACCTTTTAAAATCCCCAGAAACTGTTAATTTTAGCAATCAAGAATAAAAGGAGGTTAGGCATGTGTAAGGGTCCTCATTAAAAGGAAATACTGGTGAAAATGGAAAGATTTAATTGCATGCGTTGGTGCAATCAAACATGTAGAATTGTGCAAAATGTGTTATTACCCCGAGGAGGAAAGGAAATGCTATCAGTGACACAACAACACCTCTTTTGCTCTCGTGCAAAACCTGGTTTTCTGGTTGAGATGTGTGTGTGTGTGTTGGGAAGGAGGGGGTGTGTGGTTAGAAACAGGGTAAAATAATAACTGCTAATTGGCCCGAGGCTCTGTTTCCCCTCCTGTTACCGCAGAGCCAGGACACACAACAACAACAAGACACCTGCAGAGGAGGTATGTGTATATATATATATATCTCACACATACAGGCTGTATGTGTGTGTGTGTGTGTGTGTGTGTGTGTGTGTGTGTGTGTGTGTGTGTGTGTGTGTGTGTGTGTGTGTGTGTGTGTGTGTGAGTGAGTGAGAGAGTCTTAAAGTGATAAAAAAAAAGAGAAAGTCACACCACAAAAAGAGATTTCCCTTGAGAGTCGTCGGTACAGAAGAGAAAGCAGGCGGAAGCGGCAGACGGAGACTGAAAACACCACAGGATACAAGAATTTCTGGAAGTGGGAAAAAGTGCTTCCTGTCTACCTTTTCCCCAAGCATGTGCAACCTCACCTGATCTGCTGATTGGCTGCCTGCTGCTGCCGGTGCATCTCCTCAAGCATTGCCGTGCTGGGTGGTGATCTCGCCGTAGCGTTGTAAAGAAAAGGGAGGGAAAAGGAGATACTACTTGAAGGAGTTAGAGAGGGAGCAAAGGAGGTCAGAGAGGGGAGGTCAGGGCTCAGAGGAGGAGCCGAGGAGGACGCCTGTATTGCACCGGGATCGCTCCCATAGGAGGGCTGCAGGAGGTCTTCAAAGGCAGGTGTCAATGTGCCTTCAGAGTGAGAGCGGGGTAGTGTAGTACTTTGTGCCTGAGGGGATTTCGAGAACATGTCACCCAAGACGACATGCTGATATTCCACAGCTTCGTCATCTAGATTCCATGGATTATAGCTCTTGTAAAGGTCTGTTGATGCTGCAGAAAGTAAACCGAAGTTATCCTCTATCGTGAAGCTTGGTTTAAGAGTTGGTGTAGTGTCCTTGGCTCCAAAGAAAGAGCCTCCAATAACGTCGAATTCCTCGTGAAATGGCTGGCTTCTGGAGTCTTTTTGGTCCAAAGCAGCCTCAGGGGTTGTCTGAATCTCAATCAGGTCGCCACACAGCGTTGAATTTGCAGAGTGCCGCGTCTCGTTTTGCTCTGAGCCGCTGGAGGAAGGTTGAGACCCACAGGTTTGGTAATCCTGCGAGTTGGTGCTGACATAAAGGCTTTGGAGGAAGCTGCTGGTGCTTTGATCAGACGCAGGAGTGTGCACCATGGTGTCGTCAAAGTCTTGGCTGGGACTGGTGTTGAAGAAGTCGTCAAAAAGCCCAAATGGTACAACTGGACGCTGGCTTGCATCCTGCCCTCCTAAACCAGTGCTCTCAATGGGGGAGCCAGATGAACCGTGCCTCACATCGGGGGAGGAGGTTCTGATGCGTAGTGATGGCTGTGTGGAGTACAGTTTATCATCTGGACTCGTCACATCCGTAGTGTTTATTTCAGATATTGAGGAATCATTTAACAATTTAGAAAAATCCTCTACAGATGTGTTCATTTCACCAACGTCTTTTCCTTTTTCCTTGTTAGGCTGTGAAGAGATGTCGGATTTTGTGTGTAGTTCTGTTAACAAGTTTGAAAAGCTTGAAGCATCCTCACTCTCCGTATCTCCTGCAGGCTGCTGATGTGGTATCACTGGGGACAGCGGTGCCAAAGTGTCATTGTCATTCTCAAAGCTGGTGTGCTCTGGGATTGTCTCGAGGGAATGTGCAAATGTGTCAAGATATAAATCAGCCTTTCCATCAGTTTCCCCGTGCTGAATAACATTGTGCTTAGCTAAATCCACTAAAGACAGATCAAAGGACCGGTCAGTAGCGTCTTCTTCTGATTTTGGCGGCTTCTTTTCAACAGATTCTTCTTTACTAAATCGGAGGACGCTGCTCTCAAAGTTCTGTTCTTCAGCTTCCTCCAAGGAGGACGCAGGGAATTTGCCTGAAAAAGGAGAGATACCTGACACAAAATCCTTCGCAGAGATGTTGCCTTTCTTTCCATTCTCATTGACAGACTGTACAAATATGTTGGATTTTGTGTGTAGTTCTTGTAACAAGTCTGCTGCATCCTCACTTCCTGTCTCTCCTGCAGGCTGCCGATGTGTAAGCACTGGTGACGTTGGTCCCAATGAGCCCTGTATACCGTGTACATCTGCCTTTTCACCACCATCTCTGTGCTGAGTAACATGGTGCTGGGCTAATGACTGATCATTGGATCTGTTAGTAATGTGAACTTCTGATTCTGACGGCTTCCCTACAACAGATTCTTCTTCTTTACAAAAACCGACGATGCTTCTTTCAAAGTTCAGTTTCTCGGCTTCCTCCTTCTTGTTGATGCCTTCCTTTCCATTTTCATTGTCAGGCTGTAAATATATTTTGGATATTGGCTGCAGTTCTGGTGAAAAGTACGAAAAGTTTGGTGACTGTGTATCTGCATCCTTACTTCCTGTCTCTCCCGCAGGCTGCTGATGTGTTACCTTTGGGGACGTTGGTACCAATGAGCCCTCTATACCGTCTAAATCTGCATTTTCACCACCATCGCTCTGCTGAATAACATTGTGCTGGGCTTCATCATCTAAAGAAAGACAGATGGACTGGTCAGTAATGTCAACTTCTGATTCTGAGGGATTCTTAGCAACAGATTCTTCTTCTTTAAAAGAGCAGAAGGTACTGCTTTCAAAGTTCTGTTTCTCGGCTTCCTCCTTGTCGATGCCTTTCTTTCCCTTTTCATTGTCGGGCTGTAACGAAATGTAGGATTTTGGCTGTAGTTCTGGTGAAAAGTATGAAAAGATTGGTGACTCACTTCTTATCTCTGTTGCTGACTGCTGCTTTGTAAGCACTGTCGACATTGGTGCTGCTAATATCCCGTCTAAATCTGTCTTTTCATCACCATCACCATGCTTCATAACATGTTGAGACACATCGCCTAAATCCAGATCAATGGACCTGTCAGTAACGTCATCTTCTGATTCAGAGGGCTTCCTTACAACAGATGAATCGGATGATTTCTTAAAGCCGAAGATGCTGCTTTCATAGTTCTGTGTCTCGGCTTCCTCCGAGGATGACGCAGAGAATTTGTCTGAATAAGAAGAGACACACGAGAGGAAATCCTCTTCTGCAGAACTGCCGAGGCCTGAAGAAGTCGGATCTGGGGAGCTGCTGCTGAGCTTCACAGACGAGGCCTGCCCGGGGCTGGGATGCACGTTAGTGTCAGTAACATCATTTGTGTTAGTAGCAGCGTTAGTTTGATGAGGGTCAGTGAAAGCATCTGGTGTTGGCGAGTTAGTGGAAGTATTCAAAGTGTCATTGTCATTCTCAAAGCTGGTGTGCTCTGGGATTGTCTCGAGGGAATGTGCGAATGTGTCAAGATGATATGCGTTGGATTTCTGTGTATCAAATACAAATTCTGTGCAAGGTTGAGTATGTACTGCATCATTCACGTTAGTGTTTTGATCCGTTATGGGTTGTAATGCTGCTTTTTCGTTACAGTGTTCCAGTGAATGCTCACTGGGTGTGTTTTGCTCTGTTTTGCAGTCTGCGGTCAGGTCCTCGGGAGACTGCAGCCTGCCAGCAGCAAACGCTTCAAAGGATTCGTCCCATTCAGGTTCCGGCGCCCCGGCAGACATAAAATGATCGGACGACTTCACGCTGAAAGGTTTCTCTTCGTATGTGGGAGGTGGAGGAAGAGGTCGTTTCTTAGCATCCTCTGCGGTTGGGTTTTCGTCGTTGAGTGTGGGGTAAGGGTTACTCGCCTGCGGAAAGAACTGAGCTATGGGAGGCCGGGCGCTGGAGAGATAAGGCAGAGTAGGCAGCGAAGGTTTTAGGGGCTCAGCGTTAAGCATGGTGCCATGGAAAGGGTTTTGCTGGATGAAAGATAAGAAAGGGTTGCAGGGGGACATGGGAGGTGAGGTGCTCTGTGAGAAGGGGTTAGTGTGATGCAGGGAAACCAGAGGATCGACAGGGGGACCCGGGGGGTGACTGGGTGGGAGTGGAGGGGGGTGGGGGTCAGTGCTGGTCTCTAGTTTAGGGGACACCACCAGGCTGTGAAAGGAAGGGGACACAGTCCTCGTGATTAGTGTGGATCCCTCAGGTCGACTACAGGTTTTTTTGTGGTTCAAATCACATCTTAATTATACATTGATACAGAATGGCTAATATGTTAAACCCACATTATTAAAAGACCTTTTGTTCTTGCTATTCCCTTAAACACTGTTTGAATTAAGACTTAGCACTTTATTGTCTGGAAAATAGAGTTATTTTTGTAAACTTGGAGACAGTGCAATAATCTATTAACACAATAAATACATTTTACAGCAGGACTAAATGTTGTTATTCACATTTGAAAGCTATTTCATTTTTTTAATGAGGCCACAAATGGCTGTCGACATATTTTTAGGAAGTCATCACCCTAAAAATGTTAAAACAGATTTAATATAGGGGTTATTTAAATGTTATATTTGCTGCTAGACCGCCCCCTTAATAAAGCTGAATGCTTTTTAAACAAATAATTGATTCAGCTGGGTGTAATGATAACTGTGAGGGCTGTCAAAATGTAAAGATACAGAGCTGGCAGGAAGCTATTGGGTGTACTACACTCCAGAATCGCTGACTTTGCCTCAATCAGCAGGTCCAATATTTTGTTTACGCTCAGTGCAAGGAAACATTACGATACTGTGGTGGTTTCCTTTTTGGTCCTTGTCAGGGATATCATTAAAAAAACAAGTTAAATAGCTTATAATTGGATATATGACTTTTGAGCTGCAACGATTACTCAAGTAATTGACCAAGACATTTCTTTTTTTACTAAAAGTAATTTTCCATGCGAAAAATTCAGTTAAATATTGAGATTTGGAGTGTTTCTCTGTACTATTGTATATCTTATTAAATACATAACCTTGGACTCACCCTCCTGTTGTGTTCGGGTCAAATCTGACCGATTTACTGCTTTCATCAATCATAACTTTTTTGTTTTACATTAAGGCTTTATGATATCCTTCACAGTAGATATTTGAACGTATAAAATTGCTGATCACCACTTTCATTGAGTTTTGGATGATTTAGTCAACTTTGTAACACCCATGGTGTTCACTGTCAAAAATGACCGCCATAAAAAAAAAAGGAATTAGTAACCAGACGGATCAACACACACACACACACACACACACACACACACACACACACACACACACACACACACACACACACACACACACACACACACACACACACACACACACACACATCATCTTTCCATTGAAAATGACATTATCACTGAACCATGCACAAGGCTCCAGCTTGAAGGAGCACCCCCCCCTCCATCTGCATTGCAGATATGAGCTGTAACCAGAGACTGAGTCATGTCGCTACACAGGAAGTTAAAAGTAAACTATTAAATGTATAACTTTTCAAGATATTGTTTTTCTTCTCTGATTATAGATTCTGAGTTTAACCCATAATATCAGAACATTGATAATATTGATGTATTTTTTTTAAAAAGTCATGATTTTCTCCACATCGCCCAGCCAAACTATTAACTAAATTTAAAATGATGATGTGAGATAAGGTTCAATTCAAACCCTCTCAAAGTATACAGGTCACCAGTGGTGGCATAGATTAGATACTCGGATCTAAGTAAAGGTACTAATACTTAATTTAAAAAAAAACCTGGATTTAAAAGTAAAAGTCCAACATTTTAAATGTTACTTGAGTTGATTCTCATCATCAAATATTGAAAGTACCAAAAGTATAGTACTTGTAATGCATAATGGTTGGCTTGTTCAAAAAATGATATGTCTATTTAATTACTATGATTTGCGTAAATGCTGGTGGATATTTTTGAACTATAGTTAGTTTTTAATGTTAATTTATCAGTTTTTCCCATTTTGTATTAGCTAATAATCTGAGCCTGTACATTAGGTAGTTGATGTTGTCAAATAGCTGTAGTGATGAAAAAGTATAAAGTAGCATAAATTAAATAAATAAGTATTCTAAAGTATAAATGTTATAAAGGTTGCATCATGTAATAACAACATCTGATACAGGGGAATAGTGGTTCAGCAGTTTTTGACCCTCTTGACCCATAATCACCCTAAAAAGATAATTCATGATCCTATAACCCTTGGAGCTGTGTGATTCCCCTCCTCAGTGATCCCAGTGTGTGTGTGTGTGTGTGTGTGTGTGTGTGTGTGTGTGTGCCTGCAGAAAAGGATCACGTGTGTTCAGATGGTTTTCTAATGGAGTGTCTCACCTGGCTGTGTGTGTGTGTGTGTGTGTGTGTGTGTGTGTGTGTGTGTGTGTCTCACCTGGGTTTGCTGTTCGAGTCCTTTGATCCAAACCATCCCTTGTGTTTCTCCTCGGCGGCGGGGGCCTGTTCAGACTCATCTTTGCCCCGACTCTGCCCTTTCCCAGCAGACTCCCCTCTCCCGTGGGAGAAAAAGTTCCTCCTCTGCTTTTTCCCGGACTCCACCGTTGAGGAGGAGGACTTGATTTGAGCAGCATATCCCAATCCCTCCTCTTCCTCCTCCTCCTCCTCGTCACCCAGCATGGGGCCGCTTTTCTCCAACGCCGCCGCTATGGCTGCCTTCTCCTCCTCGTCGGGCTTGTCAAAGGACCAGCGCCGCCCGTCTCCCATGGGGCTCTTTGGGGCGGCCGAGGCAGGCCTGAGGTTCTGCAAAGACACGGATAGAGGCAAAGACTTCTGCAGCGGCGGCAGGCCTAGAGAATCCACAGGGTTTACTGAGCCTTTGTCCAGGGGCAGGTCACTGTAAGTGTCGCCTCCGTTGACCCACGCGGTTGGAAGAGGAGGCACGATGATGGAGATCTCCCCGGGATCGTCTCCAAACTCACACTGGAGAGAGTTTGCCGTGTGCTCTGCAAAAGGGAGGTGGAGAGGAGAGAGAAACAATGCAATTAATCAATGAATTTACTTATTTAACAAGAGGCTTAGTGAGGTGATAAAACCATAAAATAGCTCAGTGACAAATATTTCTACAGAGGGATGGATTAAAAGCAGACTTACAGTAGGTGTTATAATTAGATTACAATATATTAGATGTACTTAATGATCCCAGATATGAAACATTTTACATGTTATAGGCCCCCTATTATGCTTTTAGGGGTTTCCCTTCCCTGTAGTGTGTTATATATAGGTTTTTGTGCATGTAAATGGTCTGCAAAGGCTAAAATCCCAAAGTTCCTTCCAGAGGGAGATTTTTCTCACAACCCCCCTCACCCCCTGTCTCAAACGCCTCCATTGGCCTCCTTTGTTTACATCCATAATATAGTAACATCACTATGCAACACTTGCACTTCTATTGGCTAGCGCTCCAACACATTGTACGTGACAGGCTAAGGGGCAGGACATCTCTGAGCGGTTGACCAATCACAACAGATCCGGCCAGCTAACCAATCAGAGCAGACTGGCCTCTGGTTTCAGACAGAGGGTGAAAAGAGGTGCTGCAGCACAGGCAATATGAGAAAAATAAAGAGCTTTTTGAACATTAAAGAATGTAGACAAGTCACAGTAGAGGAATAACATACAAATACAGTATGAATCTGAAAATGAGCATAAAATGTCCTCTTGAATTAAGGATGTATGACTGTGGATTTGTATAATGAGTTTAAAGTCAAATACTCTCCCCCCTCACCTGGGCTGTTGTCAGGGGACAGGTTGCTGCTGTTGCTAGGGGAGTTGGAGAGGTCGGACACCACCATGCTGATGCCGGCGGTGGGGCTCAGACTGCCCCCCCGGGACGACTCGCTGCTCTCTGAACCCAGCGACGTGCTGGAGCGAGTGTCCGAGGACTTCCTCAGCTTCCCCCTCAGGAAGAAAGTCCTCATCTTGCTGCGCCGGGCCTCCCCTCCCTCGTCGTCCTCGTAGTCTTCCTCCCCGCCTCCGTCGCTCGGGAGTCGCTGCCTCATCCGGTGCAGGGAGCCGTATCCACTCGGCAGCACGGCTGAGGAAGAGTCCTCCTCACTGGATCTCCTCTTCCCCTTGATGCGCTCCTTCAGCTTTCCGAAGGTGGAGGCGGTCTTGTCCGTCATGACCAGGTCATACATGCTGGCCGTCAGGTTGTTTCTGGTGAACTGCACGGTGGCTTGGATTTCTCCTCGCTCCTTCTCCTTCTTCCCCGACTTGGAGTTTAACTTGTACCACCTGTCACAGAGGAAAATACACAAACATGAGATTAACAGAAAACATTGGAAGAATTAGGATCAGGTAAGTAGCTTTTAAAACAAATGTGCTTTAATGAAAATGTATAAACCTACAGCAACAAGTTCACACTTGTCCTCTTGGAGGTAGAGCTGCAATGATTACATAGACAGACAAATATTTGCCAACCTTTTAAATAAATAAGCTGTTAAAGCCACTTCTGAAATATGCAGAAGTCGAAACAGTTCAATAATATAATATTAAACTGAATATCTTTGGGTTTTGGACTGAAAAAACAAGAAATGTAAAGACATTATTTTGGACTTAGAGTGAGAGGGATTGGGCATTTTTCACAATTTATTTACTAAAACAATTAATCTAGAAAATAATCATCACAGATTCTTTGATAATGACAAAATCGTTAGTTGCGGCCTCAGTAATAACAGTTCAATAATAATAAAAAGTAGGTGTTAAAGAACATTTACAGTGTGGGAAAAGTTTAAATATAGTACAAGTGTAATAATATTTTTAAAAATAAATAACTTATTGCAGGGTGTACAAAAAAACACTTCACAGAATTATTATCAGTGTTAGTATTGAATCAATTATCATATTGTACTGTTATCATGAATGGGGTAAATCAGTCCTGTGTGTGTGTGTGTGTGTGTGTGTGTGTGTGTGTGTGTGTGTGTGTGTGTGTGTGTGTGTGTGTGTGTGTGTGTGTGTGTGTGTGTGTGTGTGTGTGTGTGTCCAACTAAACCACATAACTGTTTGTGGCCAGACATCCAACAATACCCAGGGGAGGCTTCTTTTATTTTCAGTGACCGGGAAAGAAAGAACAATGCTCATGTCTTATTGAAACTTAGTGATTGTCCTACATGAAAACCAACAGTTTGCCCCCAACTCCCACTCTGGACGGGCACCGAGGAGCACTTCTTAGAAACGCTGTCACCCGTGGGCGTTACAGCGCCAACAAGGTCACCGTGACTCATGGGAAAGTCTCATCTCTTCTGTTATAGAGAATAAAATGAGTGAGAAAAAGTCCCCCAGTTAACATTTGTTTCTGACACGGCATAATGCCAACGAGCGCAGGGAGCAAGGCTGAAAACTTGGTCTGAAACCACAACCTGCTTTTATTTTTTCACTTCCTGTGCTGCGAGGCTATTTTCACCTCACACCTCAACCAATTCTCTATTGCATTTCTCTATTGTTCATAAATGAGAGGCTGAGTGACACATATCTGCCCAAATAGCACAACTCTGTACATAGTTCCAGTTTACGCTCCTCCAAAATGGATCGGTTTACGGAAACAATATCTAATGAATTAGTGAAAAACCCAGTGAAATGTAAATATGGAGCAAATAATATAGCCTTGCATTTTTTGCGATAGAAAAAATATAGAACAATTAAAAAAGATTGTCATTTTTAAACCATTTGAAGATGTATATCGCCATATTACTCAGCCATAAACAGGGTTCTTACACCTTTTCCAAATTCAAGCACTTTTCAAGCATTTTCAAGGTGCATTTTCAAACTTTTCAAGCATCTTATAGCTGTTGTAAATTACATATTTATATACACATACTTATACTCAAATGATTATTCCCCTAACTGACATTAAATCAGATGTTCTTTATGCTATAAACAACCAAGGACTGTTGACCTCTGGGTGAGTGCTGCTTCCTACCTTCACTGGACTAACTAAAGAAAAGAAAAATAAGGTTTAAAAGTAGATCTGTAAGGCTATTCATCATTCATATATAGTTATATTTCTTTATAATATGTTTATTGTATGCCACCATAGCACCAAGCCAGATTCCTTGTAATGGATTATCTACATGGCAATAATGAAACTTTATTTGTGATTTTCTTTAAAATCAATTAAAAGCAAATAAGGCTGACGCTACATTCTTTTAAAAGTGAAACTGTGTCAATGCACAAATATATTACAGGATGATGTTCGATGTAAAGAAAATGATTTTTGCTTGATGGGAAATGGGGAAAGGGTCCGTTAAGTCAACAAAAAATTAAATTGTGAAACGAAAGGACTGGACATCTGGAAACGGAAAAGCAGGTTTATTGGCTTATGGATTATTCAAGAAATCATTTCCAAAGGGACACAGGACACATTGGATTCAACCCAGTGGTTCTCAAAGTGGGGGCGCGGGCCCCCCCCCAGGGGGCGCAGAGGCATGACAGGGGTGGGGCGGAGACCAGGAGGAAAAATGGTTTGGTTATAAAAAAAAGAAAAACATAAAAAAAAAAAAAAAAATGTTTAAAATTATTGATTCGAAAATAATATTATACAGTACTATTACGTCTGGGTCTCTGTTGTTTCATTAAAGTTTGGCTCTGTGTGTGTGGTGTGGAACTGAGCCATTTTTGTTGTGCGTGCGCGAGGTGAGATGCGCCACCGGTACCGGAGATCGTTGTTGTTAGCTTCTAGGTCTTAGCCGAGCCTACTAACGGATATAAGAGTTTTTTCAACAACAAAGTGGAGGAGATCCTCTTCCTGTCAGAATGAGAGGACTCAGTGAGCTAAAGGACTCTCAGTTGTTATCTCAGTGGGTCTCAAACGTTTTGGTCACCA